ACATGCATTTAGTCAAGCACTGAAGTCAAATTACATGCAATAAACATAAGATCAAACTCCTTTGTTATATTTATGAAAACTGCTAAATTAAAAAATATCCACAACGGAATGGCTACAAGTTAAAAAAAAGGCGCTTAAAAAGCGCATCTGGTTACTCCAAAAACTGTTGTTATGAATATTTTGAGATTTTAATATTGTGCTGTGTGCAGGAATGAATACTTAAGTAATTTAAGTTGACAATGTGATTTGGGAATTGCTGCAAATATGTTGGTGTCATTGGTGTCAGGGCAGACAGGTTTAAAGTCTTGGGACGGGTGACAGTTAACTGATGACATGTTACCTACTAAAATTACAATGACGTTTAAAGAGTGTGAGAAAGTAGAGTGCTCGCACTTAAAGCGTGAAACAAATAGTACTAATTACTACTAAATAGTGTTGATTATACAATAGGAAACAAAGAAATTTGTATAATTTATCACCTATTTTGTAGTATTTATATTAAAGCATGAAACAAATCGTACTAATTACTACTAAATAGTGTTGATTATACAATAGGGTATTGAATTGGTTCAAGGTCCAATACCTTGTCTGGCAAACAATCATGTCTTCAATAATTCTATTAAGGAGTTACTGAATAAAGTGACAATGACATCTGGGATGCACTAATAGTATCATGGACTAACATTTGACAGTACAACTGTTTTCTTTTTTTTGCACAATAGGAATGAGCCTATTTTTTTCTACTGTGAAAATCTTGCATGTAATAGTTGTATGTGCTTGATGTGTTCCTGATAGCTGTTCAAAGGGTCATTTTCCTCAATTGCAGAGCTATTCTTGGTAGTACTAATACATATACCTGAAAAATTAAGGAAACAGTTATTAATTTACACAAAGTTATCAGAAATATGAATCAGTGAGGGTAGAGTGCTTATGTCCATCAGAGTAGAATAACTTGCATCAATAAAGTAGTTTCAATTCAATTGTGAAAGGTTTTTGATAGTTGTTATTACTTACTCTTTATGATATTATTTTATTCTGAACCAACAAATACTATTAAGTGAATACTTGTTCTTATTTGCAAATGGTAATGTCTTAATCAGCTGATATATGATTTAAAATGTTTTTTTTTTTAACTTAAAACTTAGTTCTTATAATTAGACTCCCTGTTTTGGTTGGTATATCCTCAGGAGGTTATTTAACCCATAATAGGGTTTATTCACTTTGTATTTGATTCGTTTTTGGCAGTTATTAGTTATTTTTTGGCATCTTTTGGTTTTCTTTTTGTTTGTCTGCCATTAGTAACAGAGGTGTTTCGATTGACATTCGTATTATAAACAATCGCTATCGATCGTGGATTTATCCTGTTATTCGGACATAAAGATCGGACTAAATTGTGAAAAACATTTAAAAAAACTTTGATCAATACAGTCAATACTTTGATAGATAAAGAGAGATAAAGAATATTATAAAAAACAAAATTTACTTTACTTACCGACGCAAGTTATAAATCACGACGACGAAGGTGAGCATGTGGAAATCTTGACTCCTGAGCCAGTGTTTTTCTTTGTCAGCGCCGTTGCCAAGGCAATGCAACGTCATGAGTGAGACAATCACGTGACCTTACTTACTAACAACTCGATAACAAAGTGGTTACCCGTCTTATAGACGGAGTAACCACAAAAAAAAGCATTACATAAAATCATAAACAAGAACCCTTATAAGTTGCATATTTAATGAGGAATTTTCTTGGAGATTTTACAATTTAACCATTTCCACTTCAGTCTGATAACGGTAATTATACAATTAAGTGATGGTGGTTCTACATCAAAGTATTTACTTGTAACACAGCCATAAAGACAGGTATGGCAATTAGTTAGTAATGCACCAACTAAGTAGTACTTGCCAACAGGTTGAAGGAGAACCTTCAAATTCTTTTTAAAGTCTAAATAAGCAAAATATTGCTTGATTTTACCAAATACCCACTCAACAATTATGCGAGCCTTACTCATTTCACTATTGAATTGCTGCTGTAAAGCAGTAAGATGTGCCCCTCTGTAAGGCGATATTATGTTTTGTGAGATGCCATATGCTGGATCGCCATATACAACATAAGGATCACCATTTGGTTTGGTTATTCGTTGAAGCTGTTGTTGAAGGTCACTAACTCCCAGCATGAATGCATCGTGACGTTTACCTTCAATTGGTCCAAAGAGATGTGCAATCAATCCATTTGGAGCAGTAACAGACTAAAAATTAAAGCAAATCAAAATCTAATAACCAATCACCAATAGTCGTTTAAAATGAGATCGAGACATTGAATAAAAATATAGTGTTGACATATAATCATACAGATTTCATGTTGTTATTCTCTTTGATAGATGGTGAACAGCATTGGCAAATAAAGCAGGATCCAGCCATGACAGGTCCAAAGAACTCAACAAATGATTGAAGTTGTTGTAGACATCATCAATAATCTAAAATGTATTTATTGTATTGTACTATA